TTTGTCAACAATTATCCTTGTGCATCACCCAATCTACCTCCCTGAGGTCCTACTCTGTCCTGTTCTATCCATCCCCTTTACACAGTTATATTACAATCCCTGTGGCAAATACCAAATCATAACTAGGCAGAGATTAAGGATTCAAACTGCCAGCTCTGAGCATATAAAGATGAAACCAAGGACCCGTTTCTGTGACTGAACTTCACATGTTCTTCATCTGCTTAAATCAGTGTAGTAGCCATTAACTTCTACAGAGAGACTCAAACTAACTATGCTTAACACTGAGGGTTGTAACCTTCATCAGAGCCTCAATTGCTGCAGTTTTCCTAATGGTCCTAATAAAAACACACTCACAAGAAGTATTTTCATTAGGGAATCTATAGCTGATGCTCCTTGAAGGTGAGAAATGCTACCCTACACGTGTAGCATGTGTGTGACCAGTTCAGAAGAATTAGCAAGATTTCTAAACATTAACTTCTATCTAAATTGCCCATTAATGAGACTTTCTTTTCAAAAACCTGGTCATAACTGAATTGATATGAAAAACTTTATAGGGTAGATACCATCCAGTTCCATATTTCCGTACAGTTTTTTTAAAGTCTTCCCAAATAAATGCTTCAGTTGGGTGTGGGAGGGGTGGTTATTAGCATATTTCTTCCTTTGTGCATGTCTTTTTCTGATCTAATGATACACATTCATGACAGGCCCAATTTGGAGATTTCCTTATGAAGAATGACAGCTGAGAATTCAGTTTTGAGGTTGCAATGACAATACAAGCAGAAGTGTCAGAGCAGGTTAAGCTAAAGCAAAGTCAGATAAACGAGTTTCACTGGAGGATAAAAAAAGTTCTGTTTGTAGTGCCTTGGGAAAACATGAATCAAACACAATCCTGCAGGTGAAAAGGGAGTTAACAAAAGTTAACTCAAACCAATGGCAAGTTATAAGAGTGCATTGAGCAGTAACATTCAAATGTGTATAATGAACAAGAGAATCCTCAGCTCCTTCAAATGCTCTCCCATGTATTTTATCATCAGTTTAAGACAGTCTTGGAACACTCAGCCATTTAGCCATGCCTTGGATTGCAATCCCCTTGGATAGGGGGTTGTTTACTGCAAAATAATGCAGAAGTTATAGGAAAAATAAAATATTCCTATTGGAAACCTCAGCTCTGGTTTTTCTTTTTTTCTTTTTTTTTTTTTTCAAAGGCAGCTGGCAGCTTAATGAGATGAAATTTCTGATACTATCAAGATCCTTTTGCTGAGACTACATTGTTTTCAGCTGCTGTCACCAAGTCAACTCAGCAGTACTGTTACACCATTTGTCCCCTTTCAAGTGATTATAATGCTGCTCCAAAGAATTGTCCCATCTGAATGTGTACAACCTTGCAAAGTCCTTTACTTACACCTGACCAGAGAGAAAGAGTACATATTTGTGCAGTTTAAGGCACTGATGAGGACTTTCAGAACGCTGGGCGAAGGATTCAAACAGGCTGCCAAGAGCAGTACTGAAGAAAGCAAGAAGTGGAAAGAGGAGAAAAAGATTCTAGCACCAAAGAAATGAGAAAAAAAAAACCCACATTATGGAACCACATTCATAGTGGAGAAACAGCCCTGGATTATCTTTCATTTCTCAAACTCATCACAGACCTACAATGGCACCCCAACAAAGTCTATTATCAAAAAAAAAAAAAAAAAAAGAATGGTGTAGAGAGAAAACATGGAGGTTGTTACAGTTTTAAAACAGCCTTAACACGGCTGTTTGATAAAATGACTATTTCCAACAGATTGGGGCATTAAGCCCGTTTTTACCTCACAAGTTACAGCACTAAAATAATCATGCCTTCGTGTGCTTGCAAGTGGTGCTTAAAGTGGTTTTGGATTAAATTTCATCTTTTCACTCCAGACCTCACAAAAATGATATGACTTGCTATCTACCTAGGAGAAAGGCTTTATTTTGCTGTCCGAGCTTTACAAGATTGTCATTAAAGTATGATCAAAGGAAAAGATCTGTGGAAAAAGAAATACATTATAACTTCAGATTTCTGTATATTCCATCTTCATATCCATTCAGCAGAGAAACAGATCTGCAGTGGGTGTGAGGTGAAGCTGCCTGTCCCCCCACCTCAATAAAGCAAACCAAAGCCATGCTTTGATTTTGAATCAGAAATGTGCTGAAGAGTAAATAAATGATCTTTTCTTGTACTATGTTCCCATCAGTACTATTATGAAAACAGCTACAGGAACCAGGTGGGCTTTGGATTACGTATGACTGGCAAGACCACAGATCTGTTCAATTAAAAAAATTGAAATAAAAATCAATTATCTCAATTTCCCAAGAGCATGTTAGAAAGATGACTGTATGAAGCTGTTCAAAAGTGACTGATGAGCACCATCCATTCAAATCACACCACTAAACAAAACCTTAATATAGAATAATACCTTGTTTTGTTTGTTGCTATTTAAATGTGCCTGAGTAAGTTAATACAACACAGAGACGGACCTTATTGCCAGAGGGCTTAAAATATTAACTCATCTTAGGTAGCAGATTTCTTAAACTTAAAAAAATAATTTCTCTGCATTTTCAGTTACACACACGCTGTACACACTAATAGAAACAAGTTTCTGATTTTGGTTTTCCAAATTCAGTGTCTCATGAAAAGAAACTCATCTTTTTTTTTTTTATTATTTTCTTCACTTATACAAGGAATGGTTTTTGCTTATGAAATCTGACTCAAGTAATAAGCAAAAGCCTAGAAATCCCAATCAAATAATGGGAGACAATAGTGCTCGATGATGTATGCCTTAAAAAGATTCAGAAGAGAAGGGCTGGAGGTGCAAAGTGAATGTATACAACATGCATAAAAAGGATACAATAATAAACAAGAAGGTAACAAAAAGTCAAAGTCATCTTTGTCTTTCAGATGTACTTTGAAAAATAGACAACTGCTGTGCTGACTGAAAATTCTATGGTAGATGATTTTTAAAAAATCATGAAATCTGGAGGAAAATATTTCTACACACTCCTTCTTGAGCATTAGTTTCATTCTTACAGTATGCCTCTGCTTTTTAAGTAGATTGATGGCTATTAAGTGTTCTGGGTGAGAAAATAATGGCAGGGGTGACTTACTGTCTGGATGTGAAGTCTGCAAGGCAATTAACATTTTCAGATGTAAAACAAAATTAGGAAAGAGAAATTTAACTTTAAAAGGTCTGATCTAAAGGGAAAAATCTGACCTGTAAATAAAAGCTGGTTTTCACAGATTATTAAAGCTCAAGTCAGATTGCAAAATCAGATCATGTATTTAACTTCTTGAAATGGTGTACTCTGCTCCACTTCATAAATTCTCACCTGCAGTCAGCTTAATCATTTCAGATTGACTGGAGGATGTATATAAGAAGAGTATCTGGCCTTGTTCTGAAGAGATGAGGAGATTCAGAATTCCACTAACACATGACCAATGGTTACTTTCTGTATACATATCTAGGATAAACTATATTCATGCATGAAATAAAGTTCCAGAAAAAGGAATAAGAAATAAGAGCAAACAAGATGATAGCTGTTCCTGAATCACAAGACAATAGCCTGTTTCAGATGTTCAAGTCACCTCAGCCAAACTGCTTTTTATTCATTATATACGTGATGAACAGTAAAAGAGGGTTGCATTTCATAATGCTGAAATGTAGAAGCTTTGTCTTAAATATAAATAAGCAATTATTCTGTTGGGCACATTGAATTTCTGAACTTGCACCTATGTTATCTAAGTATGATGTGTCTATTTTCTTTTGTAACTCACTCATAATTTTTCCAATGCTGTAAGCAATTTAGTGATGGACAAATACATTGTCAATGGGGTTATTTTATGAGAGCAACTCAATTATCCAGAAATAATTTCAGATTTGAAAGCAGATAACTGCATGAATTTATCCCAGTTTCCCCTCAGTCAAGATCAGGCAGATGGCACAGCCTAATTATACCTGGACTAACTGCACGTTAGACAATTAATCTAAAAGCTGTTTTGAAAGCAAAAAGCAACAAAATTCAGCCAAAATAGCCATTAAAATAAAAAAAAAACAACACAACAAAATCTTCAGGGCAGCCAGCTCTGATCCAGTACTTGACTGGTCAATCATTTTGTAGTAGCAGAAATTTGATGCATCCAATTTTGAGTTATTTTTAACAATAGGACTGAAGTTGTAAGTCACAGAATTTTCCAAACATTATTACTAATCTACATGTTGGAACAATTAATAAAAACATATGCATTGATCATTACTTTGAAGTAGCAACTTTGTTAGTAATTTAAATATTAAAGACTCTTAAATGAAATGATGTACTTAACACAGAAATCTGATTTTCTCTTCCACAGCACTCTGTATAAGTTAACTCCCATTCATTTCTCCTGTTGCTGGGAAGAAGGCTCTAATAGAAATTAGTAGTTCTAAAACTGTTAACAATAACCCTACAGCATGCCACGATATTATATAAATTCCTAGAACTGATTTGCATAAATTAATTGATTTCTGGTACTTGCAAGTGCTAAACACGTTTTCCTTCCTATACTGTAAGAAATGTCTGAGCAAAGACATGCATATATTTATAGGGCCTGGAAGGGAGCATTACTCCATTGACTCAACTGATGGACAACAGTGAATCATATAATACATTACATGTCAAAGTAAAGCTAAATTATACCTATGTTCAACAAAGAGTACTGTTTGGATTCTTAAGCAACCCATGCATGTGGTTTGGGAGACCAAATAATTCAACCAGCACACATCAACTATGTGACAGTATCTACATTTGGCAGCCATTAACCAATAACAAAGTGTTCTCCCAGCTCTTTCCAGATTTTCAAAGGCTGCCCTGGTAAGAAGTTAAAAGCGTAGCAGAAGACCTAGCAGCTCCCCATCATGAAAAATGAGACAAAATGGAAGCTAAAACAGCAGTGTAAAGGGAGCACATTGGCCAAGCAGTATCTTATGTGCACCCTGTAAACTTACCTGCAGCTCCTTTACCACACGTTTGATAAGGTAAGTCCCAAGTTCCACCCCCTGCAGTCCTTGCTGAGTCAAACTGATTGAGTAGAAAATTGCTGTTGTAATTTTGTCTGCATCTTCTGTTTCTAAAGGTTCCACTTCTTTCACTATGGCCTGGGAAAATAAGAACAAAACACAGTATTAGTGGTAATTACTATTTTAATAACATGTGAAGGGGCCCTTCTTTTTAACTTTCAAGTGTGTTAACATGTTTCTCACAGAGAATAATGAATAAAGCAGTGGGAAAACAACAAAAATCCAATCAAGACAAAGGCTGATTATTCATTAGGAAGTGCGTGGGTAATAATTGTAATGGGTTTAAAAATTTCAGAAACAATCATAACTGCTTGTAGGTTTTAATTTTGCTTACTGTATTTTCTTATGTTTCATCTTTACTTATTGTTTTTGAATTTGAACAAAACTTCCAAATTTTTGTTGAAATAATATGGAGGATACTCAGAAAATCCCTATATTTAAGAGGAAAGCCAAGTCATCTCTTTACAAATAAAACAAAATCAAATATTCACAGACTGTTAGAGACTTTAAAAGGTAGATGTTGCAATTTAAACACTTTGCTGTGGACTGAATATATCAGTGACTGTACCTGGATGCTGCTGGAGATATCACTGGTTAATGCAACATGCAAGACTATCAACGGTTCTCCTGGGATTGCACAGTGAGAAAAAAAGTAGCATCTTCTATATGACCCCACTCGACGCTTCATATCAACCCAGTTTCTAACAGGATGCACGGCTTCAGAACTCAATGAAGAAAAAAGAAACATTTGTTGTTTCATTTAAAGAATGCAGTTGCCAGTCCTACAAACTCAGTACTTTTGGCACTGATATCAGTAACAAAACTCCCAGATTAAAAAAGGAGAATCAGGCTGCGATTCGAAAAAGTAAAATCCATCACCAAATTGTGACAGTCAATTGTAAAGGCTTACTGCATAGCAGTCCTGGGGTTTTCTTTGGGATATTCTCATAATGAGATCTCACTTACACCTTCTGCTTACTGTAGGATACCCAACTCAGATGACTAAGCCATTGAATGAGTCTGTACACGCCTCTAAGAAATTAATTTTCCCAAACTACAAAGTAGAGATAACATGTAAGATACCTCAAAATTTTCATAGGAAAGTGAGAAAAGGATTTCTAATCATAACATTGTCTACTACACATCATGAAAAGTTTAGGCTGATGTACACCTTAAAGCATTTCTGCTTTTCTACTTCAACCTATTCTAAAACATATTTGCCACACATGCATCACACATGCAATAATGTAACTTGTTTTTAAAGTATTCAAATTATAGTCTAGAATATTTTGTACACTGTTATTTCACAGGTCCACGTTGTGTACTATGCAGAAACAAGGATGTGACATCTTGTACTATAGTAACTTTCACTAACCTAGCCAAATGCTTTACTATAAGCATAGGTATTGTTGATGATGATAATTGAAATTAAATTCCTGCTAGCACTCCTGCAGTCACATCTTCAAGCAATCATTCAAAATATTCTTCCCCTATTACATCTGAAAGTCTGGAATGTTTGCCAAAACACCCTAAAGATTAAATATTACTAATTCTTTTTATTTTGAAGTTCAGCCTGTGTAAGATCTCTTTTCTTTGCCTCATCCACATTTAAGTCACTTTCACAACTTTATCTTTAGAGATTCATTTTTCAAGCTTTTCATATAACGGAGCACCACACAATTTAATTTTTATTCAACAACCTTCAACTTCATCACTATAATTTTGAGTATTTGACAGAAAGTCAAAAAATAAACGCTGTAGATTTAAAGGAATGATTATTAAAAAAAAAAACAAACACTGTGCTCTCTGCACATCGAGTTTACACAATTTCTGCACACCTCACCAGTTCCAACCAGGAAAGGGAGCCTCACTACCTGAGAAGTAAAACATGTTCTTGAGTACTGGCACTCCATCAGACTTAAATACTTATTCTCCTCCAACACTGCTATGACTGCTGGGGCAGACTGAGGGGAGAAGGTGGCAGTGGTGCTGGAGGTAGCAGTGGCAGCAGCACCTGTGGGAAGAAAGGGAGTGCAAGAAGGCAGTGTAGTGAGAATCTGGATGTGCAGGAAAAGTAGCAGCACCTCTAGTAATGTGCTGGGGAATGAGTAATTGAGAAAGATGGATGGAAACTCATTTGCTAGAAGTGACAGTAGTTTATCCATGTAGTGTGTGAGCAAATAGTAGGGCAACGATCCCCTTTCCTTAAAAACTGCAGTGTATTTTTAAAGCACACTCTTAATTGAGTTAAATGCAACTGCTCCTTAATTACACCTAGCTTGAGATTAAGGATTGGAAAAGTGCTTATCCTGAGAATGGTGGATCTGTGCAGTCACAAACCTTTCGTTGCCATTACACCAATGAGAATTAGGAAGTTTTAACACTTACTCACTGATTTTCTGGAGTACTTCACAAGGTGATTGCCACGTGACCCGCTCCAAATTTAGGAATCCTGTTGAAAACCACTCTGAGAGCATGTTCTTTAGAACACCACTCATTTCCTGCAAACAGGCAAAAAAAAAAAAAAAAAAAAGGAAAAATAAGCCAGGGAAGAACACACAAATGAGAGGAAAAAAACAACCAATCATTAAGAACTACAACACTGGGAAGTTCAAGGAAAACAACACATGTATTCAAGAATAAAGGCCTAGCAGCTCAGCTTTCCACACACAGGACTAAAACAATGAAAACGTTTATAGGGAGAATGAATTTACTGTCAGTACTAAGCTACAGACAGGGAAACTGATGTTAATGCAGAACACCTTAGGGAGAAAGCAGACAATAAGTAGAAGCATTTGAGAAGTCCTGACAGTAAAGCAGCAGTTGCATAGATGCTCGGATACACTGATTTAAATAGCAAGAAACAAATCATGGGAAACAATGAAAATAAGGATTTGAAATTCAATCTGATTTTCTACCTCTGAATCCTTCCTGAGCATTCAAGACGTTCATGCCTTGAAGATTACTGTAGTAGATTCAATAGCAGTGGAGTGGCACACACCCACTCCATATAATGAAATGGGAAATGCACACCCTGGAACACGATGCAGTAACTCCATAGGCTTTACAGAACTCTCTTTTAACTTCTGTATAAATGTGAACGTTTTTCAGCAAGAGAAACAGAAGCAGCAGCATAAGACTACAAAGCTCAAAAATGGCAGTAGACTTGGAACAGTATGATACCAAAATTAAAGCCAACTGTAATGGCAAATACTTTCAGAAGCATTAATCATCATAATGAATTTCATATTCCACACTAATTTCCTGCTGCCTATTTTATTAAAGATTTTCCTAACTGAAATTCTTTATTTGAGTTTGCAAAGTCTTCTTTAACTCAGCACAGCATGAACATTCCTTAAAGAGATTCTAAAGTTATTTTTCTTTCTTATATTTGTTTTGCATATAGGACACAGCATGATGCCAGCATCAACTTCCCAACAGCCTGAAAAGAGCTGTAGGCTTACCTGAAACTACCTTCATAACCATTCATTTAAAACCAAAAGCTGCTTACTTTCTATTTAGACCTTTATCAAATAGCCACTGCTGTAGATTAAAAACATATAGACACAAAATTATGCTCCAATGCACTTTAGCTTGCTACATCTTGCTAAAACAACAGGACAAAAAGTAGAAACCTATCTAGAAATTAACACTTCCTACTTAAAACATTTTACCAAAGCTTAGCTGCAGTCTCACTACTTTCCTAGGAAGCAAAACAACTATCAAAACTGAAAGAGAGAAAGTAACATCAGCTTCTGTTAACTAAAGCTGGTTTCAGCATTTCAGTGAGGTACTAGAAGAACTAACATTTTCAAACCCATTTCAATTGCAGCCAATTGAGATTAAATATTTCAGTTTACCCCAAGTCCTCCTGCTAGAATTAAATGTACTCTTCCCACAAAAACTCCTAAAGCAAAGTGACCACAATTGTGGATTTTGCAAGGTAAATTCATAACAGATCCTGGCTCTACTCCACATAGAAAGCAGTCAAATTTTCCTTATGGAGGAGCTTTGGTTTTTCTTCTTCATTCCATTTCATTTTAGATTTACTAATTTGTGTTAGTGAATTACACAGAGGCTTCAGTTTGACAAATATTTTTGTCTCTGCAGGAGAACCACCTGGAAGAAAACTACCATTCATCTGCACAGAACAATTCTGTTGTGCACAAAAAATTTAATGCTACCTTTCTATGTTATTTTTCAGTAACATCCTCAAAAATATAAGAAAAGAAGAGCTTGCTTATTGAAGCATAAATTGATGCGTACTGCAAATACTGAAAATGTCAATTGTGTTGTTCCAAACACAGGGAATATCCATTAACTCTTCCATAAGGTCACATCTCCAAATCTGTGTAAATTATTTCTTTATTGGTCTTTCTCAGCAGAGCTGCCTTTATGTTACAGAATACACTTGGTAGATGAGCTGAAAGTCTTTTGTCAAACTGTTCTTCCACCTGCACTCGTACCACAAGGCTGTATATGGTAGTAAAAAGCAAATATGAAACTGAAATAATGTACATAAAATTTACCTTCGTGTTCATTTGTAAGCTAAGCAAACTGGAAGACAATGGAAGCTGCATAATGCAAGTCACCAGCATACAGATAACACATTCGTGGCTGTCTGCAGCACATCCCTCTGAAGACCTAAGAGAACTGAGGACCACACTAAACAAAACCCATTCTGCTAACAGACACATCTAATCTATACCAGCAGAAATGTTTGGACAATTCTTCTAGGCCACCAAATTAAAGAGAAAGCAGCAGAGCCCCAGAAAGCCTGAGTAGCAGCAGCTACTAGACGGGCTTTTCCAGGAAGCTATGCAGGAACTGAGCAGAGAACAGAGCAGGTACCAGCCCACAGCCTCCACAAGGACTCTGCATCAGCAACAGTTGTAATGGGAGAAGCTGAATTCTCTTCTGTTTTTACAGTACGTTTTTTCACATGATGGTGTGAGTGTCCTCAACAAGCGTACTCTGACTCTTGCTCCTTCTGGTTCTAAGGATTCCCTCATGAATCCTTGTTCCTGCCCAGCTCTGAAGTTTATCAAAAATAACCATATATCATTTTGGTCAAACATCCTTCATTGTAGCAATGGCATCCACATATATCTCAAAATTGTTTTGGTTTCTTTTGTAAGGCCACAAAACAAGCCAGTAAATTAAGCCAGAGCTGTCAGCTAGGGTCATGCTAACAGAATTCTACAGCTCTCTTGCCACCCATCTGCTTTTTGGAAAGCCAATGCCATTTCAAGCTGCAGTGTAGGAGCTAGGAGGGAAAATGCTGACCCTGCTGTCATTGAGTTCCCCACGGATGTGGGAGAAAGGCAGCTGTGCTACGTAGGAACTGTCATAAGTCAAAAACATGGAATCGCCTGCATTTTGCCTCTTGAAGCAGCCACGAGTTTAGTAAGCATGCTCTATGGGATGGGACATAATGATGTCTAACTGGACTGGAAGCTACTTTCCAAAATGCAGAACAGTATTACAGAGCTACTTCAGGTCCAAGACACAGTGGTATAAAAGCCATGGAACTCTAACAGAAAAGAAAGTGAAGCTGATGGTGGTTTTGGTAATGGCTTTGGTAGACAGGTATATTTATGGGGAACTGTCACTCAACACACATCATCTGTTGGTTGTAAATAATAATGCCTCAGAAAGTAACAGAATGGCACGCAACTCAAAGAACTGTGCATGTTAACATCGTTTCTTTGTGGAGAAAAACAAAAGTTGTAGATGCTGTAAAACTGATTCAAGTCATGTGAGCAAAACACTGAGCTGTGCTGAATGCCATAATGTTCACTAAACCTCGGAAAGGTTTGATTCCAGTAATAACATTCTTAAGTCAGGTTCTCTTATTTCATATATTTAGTGATAAATTAATTCATATTTTCATTTCAGAGACCTTTCCAAGCATAACATTTTAGCCAAAGCTTCTCAAAATAAGAATAAAAAAGAAATCACCTTTATTAATGAGCAGCACAATCTTAGATTTGAGCAACTAGACATACTCATGTTAGTGTGAAAAATTACCAGCTGTATTGTACACAGCCAATAGAAGCCAAAGTAAACTGTGATTATGCTCAAAGACAGAAAAATAGAGGCTTTCTGATCCTCACATCAGGTCTGTGTTGGGCAACAGATGGGAAAACCCTTACGAAAAGCCTGATTTTCTTGTATTAAGAGAAACTGCCGCTGATGAGGAAATTACTTCAATGAGGAAACAACTTCACCACCTCTACACACTATTTACCATAACATATTGAAGGAACACCAAATGTTAATGCTTTATAAACCAATACCTAACAGTCCAAGCTGTTTGTGTGCTGATCCATTTTGGGAAAGACAGATATTTATATTTACACCACACAGTGGTGGGTAATCCTTGCTTTAATAGGACTTTCAAACTGCAAAGTAAAATCTAAAGGCTCTCTAAGAACCCAAAAGCCAGTAGGCAGCATTCTAAAATCCTCCTCCATCATAACCATCTATTTCATTTTATTTCCACATCTTTTCAGTGCAGACACAAACAGCAATTATAAAATTCTTTTAGTAGTTTTGCTTTTATGAATGGTAGAACTTAAATCAAATCCACAGTAACTAGAGGCAGCTACAGAAACCTTTAGACAGGTAAACACCAAACGCTTCTTTCTTCCCTAGGAAAACTTTTAACTTCCAGTTGTTTCTCTAGATAAGGGCTTCTTAGATCTTCAAGGGAAACTGTTTCAATATTTGGAGTGCCAGGAGGGCAACTGTTTCATACAAGTAAACAGATATCCTAATCCACTGGGAGCCCTTGTCAATGAGGCTGCAGTTATTTTACAGAAACAGCCAACTTCAGGTCCTCGTACAGGTTGCTGTAAGAGGAAAGAACACTCAATTAAAAAGCTTCTTTCATTTCCAGCAGACCAATACAAGAGCAACAAGTCTGTAGGTATGTCTCAACTATTGCTTAATTGTGGAACCAGGTTTCCTTATAAATCAATTTGACAAAAATTCTTTCATTATTTTTTTTTGCCAGCAACTTGAACTTTCAACTTTCTTTTTCCTAAATCATACGGAAAGATGAATATCTGAAATGCAGTAGGTCAATTATTTGCTACCTGGAATAACATTATGAATTCTTCACTAGCAGCTGTATTTTAGGTGTTGGAACTGGGGAAATTAGCAAAATATGACAACTCACAGGAAAGAGGAACTGAGGTGGGAAAAGAAGTAATGCAGCTGAGAGTGTTCTGCACTGTAATAAGGAGAGCTGAACTCAAAAAAACCAACAGGATTTCAGCAAATTTCACTCTGTGTACTACAAGGGAGCTCATCAGGAGCTTGTAACTCATTTCTAAAATCACCATAAAACACACGTATCCTTTGGTGGAAGGAAGGGCACAAGAGAAGAACATGAAAAAGAGAAGAAAATCAAACATCATAAAAACTAATTGTGCCCAACTACATCCTAACTTTTCAAACACTTTCTGAGTCAGTATTGGTTTTTAGAAATGGTCATCATAAGATCCTCCACAAGGCCTGTGAAAGTTACAGCTGAGTCATATGTAATGGAGGAGAAAATCCACCTCTGGGACAAGCTACAAACAAACACTTTCACTCACAATATGCCCTGCATGCATTTTTGGAGGACTTCTCAGAAAAAAAGGCTGTATGGCTTCAACTGAAGACGATGCTGCACCAGCATGCAGCACTTCATCTATTTTGCTAATGATTAAGGAACAGTGAAACCAAAGCAAACAGATTTTAAAGGCTGAGCATGACACTCGATTCAAATGCAAGACAACCTTCTCCAGATACACCAGGAAGAAGGAAATAACATAGTTGCAGGCCTCGTTACTGTAGAAAACAGATTAGAATGACCTATATGAAACTCCAAATTGAAATGAAACAGCATCCAGACTAAATTCTCATGGGCAAAACAGTCACACACAAATACAGAAAGCCAAGGCAAACCAGGGTTGCCCCAAGCTTCCCTGGCTATGTGCTGTTTACTGTCAGCTCTCGTTTTAGATGTGGACAATAGAAGCGATGAAAAACTGCAAAGAAGACCACAAGATACACAGAACTGAGCACAGCCACACCATGAAACCCAACGTTTCAAAAAAACGTTTTCAGAAAACATAACAGAATATTTATGACAGCCTTTTTATTGAAGCTTTTGTTCCACATTTTCCTACTTTCAAATGGGTTATGTTTGATATCATACTGTATTATTTGATGAGTGTATCTTTTACAGAATTCCATTGTGTTGATTTTGCAGATTTGGTCTGTTGTTACTTGAGATGATCCAGCTAGAGGCAGAGTTACCAACTGTCACTATACTGGCCATACGCAAGGACCATGTTTTTTATATATATGTATAAAATATAGTTTTTCTAGCAAATTTAGGAACTCAGCACTGACATTGAGTCATCCTGTTTTTAATCAAACTTAATTTGGATCTAAACAATGAAAGGTTTTGGAAACACAAAATGACTTGGACTGGAAAGGACCTCAAAGTTCACCATCTCCTGCTGCAGACAAGGTTGCCTAGCACTAAATCAGGCACCCAGTCAGGCTGCCCAGAGCCCTGTCCAACCTAGGCTTTGAGTTGCCTAACTCACCGTTCTTCCCTCAAACAGAATCTTTGCATTATGGCCTGGTAGCCCTGCCTCTACACAGAATCATAGAATGGCCAGGGTTGGAAGGGACCTCAAGGATCATGAATCTCCAACCCCCTGCCACATGCAGGGCTGCCAACCTCCTCATTTAATGCTAGACCAGGCTGCCCAGGGCCCCATCCAGCCTGGCCTTCAACACTTCAGACAGGGGGAAATTCTTTATGGAGAGAGTGGTGAGGTGCTGGAACAGCTTCCCAGGGAGGTTGTGGATGCCCCGTCCCTGGAGGTGTTCAAGGCCAGATTGGATGGGGCCCTGGGCAGTCTGGTCTAGCATTAGGTGGAATGGTTGGTGGCCCTGCATGTGGCAGGGGGGTTGGAGATTCATGATCCTTGAGGTCCCTTCCTACCCTGGCAATTCTGTGATTCTGTGACTTTCAGGGATGGACGGGGCATCCACAGCCTCTCCGGGCAGCTGTTCCAGCACCTCACCACTCTCTCTGTAAAGAACTTCCCCCTGACGTCCAACCTACACGTCATTCTGCAAGCTCCTGATAGCATGACAGCTCCATCTTCAGCTCCCTACGTCACTCCATGTCAGTGCCACCCCATCGGGGCACACGGCCCGGCCGCACACCCCCCCCCCCCCCCCCCCCCCCCCCCCCCCCCCCCCCCCCCCCCTGCCCTGACTGCCTCCTGGACCCCCGCCCTCACCTTGACGTGAGGCCCGTCCACCTCCTTGCTCGCCAGCCCCTCCACCAGGTCTCCCCTCAGCTCCACCAGGAAGCGCAGCCCTCCCTCCAGACGGCCCAGGTGCTGGAACAGCCCCCGGTACCGCGGGTTCAGGTAATAACGCAGCCGGTCCTCGGCCTGCAGCAGGGCTCCCAGCTCCCTCTGCTGCTCCCGGGCCTGCAGCACTTTGGCGCTGAACTCCGCCACCCGCCCGTGATCCACGCCGAAGTCGCGGGCCAGACGGGTGAGGAGCTCAGCGCGGGGCGGCCCGGCCAGGCCGCGGTAATACCGCATGAACTCCGCGCTGCGCAGCTCGGCCGGGGGCGGTGCCTTCTCCTTGGTCTCGTAGGGCGGCAGCGGCGGCACGGAGCGGCTCAGCAGCTCCTCCATGCCTACGTCGGAGGCGGCACGGAGCAGCCCCCGCGGCACCGCCCGGGACCGGCGCAGGAGGAGCCGCGAGCACGGAACCAGACGGCTCATCCCGCGGCCCGCCGCCCACCGCCGTTTCAACCTAGGCCAGGCCGCGGCACCGCCCCCGGAGCGGCAGCGGGCGCGCTGATTGGCTGACACCGCGAACCCGCCAATCAGAAGCGAGAAGGGGAAGTGCGGGAGAGCGTGGAGCGGCGTGAGCGGCGCTGCGCCGCCATCTTGAGTGTGGCGGGCGCGAAAACGCGCTGTTGGACGGTTCCTTCAGCGTCCTTCCTTGCACAAAGCTTTTATCTCCCTCAGTGCACGTTCCTTCAAGCATCTGCTGTGCGACCCAGTGATTCCTGGACCTTTCTCACCCACCATTCCCTCCTATCTGCCGCCCAGCAGCTAGCTGTACTGGAGCTCCCAGTAAAGCTCCGTTGTGAGCCCATGGCCCTGACGGAGAGACTTTGGTTGGCATCGTGGATTATGCTGATTTAAGGCTGGTGGCTGTGCCTATAGCCTCCAGGGGGTTACCCTACTTGGGCTCCTGGATGGCTGCCCGCTGCCAGCTGGACTGACTGGGCAGTGTGGGTAAAGAGGTTATTTCCTAGTCCCAACAAGTTCAGTCTGAAATAAGTCCAGGAAATTGCACAAATTTGATGGTGTAATCTAATGATGTGGTCCTGCAAACAGCGTGCCCTTTGGAGCCTGTCAGAAGTCTTCAGTGATGGGTCTGAAGTCCTCTGCATGCTGCAGGACTGTTGGTGAACAAAGCCAAACACACGTGCTCTCTGGTTTCTATAGATCCAGACTTACAAAGATGATTTTTTTTTTTCTTTTTGACACCCCACGTACTTTGTGCTTACTATTGTTACATGCCCATTACACCAAGCAAAGTACACAGGTCAGAGTGATGGCAGTGAGATTAACATCGAGCAGCAGTTGTCTCCACTTTGGGAATCACAAGGAATTATTGATTCTCTGCAGCTGAAGTAAGAATTAAGAACACATCCAGGCCCTCTTCACCACCGAATAGAGCAGTGTGGGAACAGTACTACTGCTGGAGTGTTATCTAATTAAAAATTTCTAGAACAATGTTAGAGCTCCTGGGGACAAAAAAAAAAAAAAAAAAAAAAAAAAAAAAAAAAAAGCAACATCAGCAGTGTAGCACTGGGGAACTGTGGGTCATAAGATAAGCTTAGAAACCCTGAAGGGAGGGAAACATGACTCAGAAACATTAAAATATATGAAAAAAATAGTTAAAAAATTAAATTCCAGGGGCAATGAATTACATTTCAGAAGTTCCCTTAACAGCTTTGTAACTTCATTTTCAGCAAAAGTAGAAACTCTCAAAAGTTGGCTGATTAGTCCTGCTCCATCTCTGAAGCCTGTCAAAGCCAGCTTCTGTGTCAGGTTCACATACTAACATGGGTGACAACTTTCACCACATAACATGATGACATTTGAACGTGCAGTGTTTATAAACAGCAGTGCTGCATTTTTAAATGGCTGTTAGTTAAACAAGACTGTTTTCTGTAAAAACCAAATTAAAGCTTTATTCTGCAATGCTCCATAACGATGTGAGCAAGTTTTTTGGTTTTTTTTTTATGTTGGATAGCTAGAAATAGAACTTTTTCTTCTGTATCCTTAACAGGTTTCTTTAAGCTGATGTATTTGTTAGGTACATGTTTATATACTAAACCACTTTACAAGCCATGATGCAGATTTAGTCAACGAAAGCCTAAAATGTCAGAAGCCTACTTGAGCCTAGATGGTCTATCTGGCTGTTTTGGCAAATGCACATCAGCTCTGAAAACAGCATTACAAAATGGTTGCTTTTCTGACTCAGCCAGAAAATCTAAAGCTTTGTGAACATAGTAAGTCTTCTCTCCTAAATGTCTTGGGATGCTTGTGTAACTATGAATAAATGAAATTAAATCAAAGCATTAAGGAGCTTACAAAAATGTGAGGAAGCCTTGTGCAGCTGTTCAGTTTCTGCATGAATCAGTGATTGCTGGAAACTTCAAGAAGCTCAAGAACAAAACGCAGGGAGGGGATGGAAGCTGAAGGCTTATCACCTTCCAGGAAACAGGCAGCATTTCTCAGATCAAGAACAGCATTTCTGGCTTTTAGAAGTCCTACACAGAAATCCTTTTTATTCTTTTCATTTTGACCTCTCAGATTGGCTTTGGTTATTGTTCTTAAAATAACATAGTTGTCTTGCGTAAGCCACAGGCCATAAAAACTAGTTACCTAGTTGTTCATCTACAGGAAAAAAAGCATTGTGATGTAAGTTATAAAGCTTTCAAAAGTGAGAAATTCCTTTTAAAATCTTTTACCGCTTCTTTTTGTCCCCTAGGAAAAAAAAATATCAGCTGCTTCAGCTGCTGCTTCAAAAATGGAAATAACTCTTTGTGCTGTGGACCTGAGGGCATGAACAGACCTTAATGGTTCTGACCAGCTTCACTAGGGCCTTCTCTACACCCTCCCATGGGCTTGGGAGCCCCGTTTTGACTTAGCCTGGAGATTTCAGTCCTCTTCTGAGCTATGCTTTAGGAGTTTGGGTCTCCAGTTCCACTAGAGTTCTGCCCCTGGGCCTTTCTAATCTGCAACTGCAGTCCTGCTTCCACCATGGACCTGCTAAGCAATTCATGTTCTGTGCCTGACTCTGGCTGCTGTTGTGGTGCCTGATTCTGACTCTCTGGTTTTACCTTGCTCAGTGGATCTATGTGATGATCCAAACTATTGACCAAACCTGGCTGCTAACAAGGCCTGCCTTGCTTGGTGGTGGTGAGGCTCTTCCCGTTCTCAGCTCCATGCCATGTACAGCCTGGCCAACCCTTGCTGCTCTGAGATCTTGCCTTCCTTCAAATAAGGACTTTGCTAAACTTGGGATGCTCGGAGATGAATTTACGATATTCTTATAAAGAGAAGATTTTTTCTTTTTGACTTTGTTGGAAATTGAATATTACTATCAGAAAGCTGGAGATTGAAAGAGACTAATTATGCTTCAGTAATTGTAACTTTTGTCTCCAAGCAAAAAGAGAAGCATATAAAAGATGGTAAGTCAATCTGATTTTATTTTTTTTTTCTTTTTAATCAGTTCAAATGTTAAGTAAAAATAAAGAAGATAGCCTGGATTCTCTGCTCAATAATTCCTCTGTAATTAAGATATGTGTGTGTAAGCATATGTAGGATAGGAGTCTTAAATGAGGAGCAAACTGTACTGCTATCAAAAAGAATTGCAGAACTCCCATTAACTTCAAAGGAAGGAAAATGGAAATGTGCATTTCCAACAAAGCCTGTGTTTGTAGCTGTTCATCACAGGGAGATTTACAAAAGAACAGTAGCCCACACACCCCACTTCTGCCATAAGAGTATTGTGACGTTTACTCTTGTGTGTAATAATCATGCACACACACAAGATTTTTTTTTTCTTAGCACAGCTCTCAAATTAATTTTTTTTAATATCTGCTAGAGCATATTAAAAGCCTCTAACTACTTGTTTTATTGAAAAATAGCTATTTTCAGTTTGATATTAAGGAAAAAGCTAAGAGATGATGATAAAAGGCCTCTTTCCCTGTTTTTCCTTCAAGGTTGGTGAATTAGCAGTGCTTACAGTGTCATAATGCTGGGGCAAGCTGTGTTGCAAGCTCTAAATGAGTTTGGTAATGGCTTTGGAAAGAGTTTGTAAAATGACTTTAAATGAGAGAGAGTCCTATTTTGAAGATTTCATCAATCTCAGAGGGTATTATTGGAAGAAAATCTGCTGTAGTTACTTAGCAAAAAAAAAAAAAAAAAAAAAAACCCTAGAAAAAACATACACACACACACACAAAAAATCTTTTCAGCTTTTATACTTGGCCTTCAATTATTTAGGCCCTCCAGACAGGCAATTCTATGTGGCAGTTCTGGGGTTTGTTTTGTTACAACTCCCCAAACTCTCTGTTTAAAATTGGATAGAAATGTTCAATTGCCAGAGCTATAGCCAGTGTTTAGCTTTAATCCCAATTTTAAATAAATATGATATTGTTTTATTGAATTATCTGGGTTTAAACACACGAGGCTTGTACGCAGAGGCTGCAGACTAAATTCTATGCTCTCAAGTGAACAAATCTGTTGAAGCTTCATTGTAAGTCTAGCTGGGTTCAATGTTTTCATTCCTGATTCTCCAGATCTTCAAATACTTGCTTAATTTGCTGGCTGTAGCACTTCACTAGGTAACGAAATGAAGGACTGAACAGGATAGGTATCTGCCTTTAAGAACTGATCACAGCAATGCTTGTTTCAAGTGATTAAGCTGCCTGAAATAATGATTATGAAGTTAAGGATTTTTTATAGCTGACTGAAGATTCAGATCTTGCTAGTTCTATCAGTTTTGAGAATATTTGTAACTGTCAGTAGACAGTACATTTCTCAGACTCAGGTTTTCCTTTCTTTAAAGAAAGGAAAGGAAATACTCTCGATTCTAAGGAATGTCTTCAAGATTTCAGTCTACAGTTAACGCAAACGTAGTACTTTCATTTTCAGCTATGGGTATTAAGTCCACTGTTGGAAGTTGCTAACATACACGTGAACCTTGACTTGCTTTGTTGTCTGATGCTTGATTATGCTCTTACACAAACTCATTTACTAGATTCTGTACTTGCTTCATTGTTGTTGCCCCAGAGCATTGTAATTAGCGTGGAAGTTGGCACCATAAAACCTTCAAGCTGTGTCCTTTCTTCCTCTCATCTTCTTTTGGTAATTAATTTCTGTTTTGGTATGAAAAATAACTTATGAGAAGTCTTAATTGATGAAGTTTGTAGTACTTTTATTAGTATACCCAGTTAGTGCAGTTCCTTACTATTAATTCTTGTTGAGGCGTGGAAGACATGTTAGATGGAAATGAAGCCAATGGTCTAAGCAGATGCTCTTGGTTGTGGCACATGAAGCTGTAATCCAATGCTTAGGAGACATTGTACAATATACTGGGAAATTCTTAGGTTAGTTATTTCTAAACTGATGTTTATAATTTTTCTTCTTGTTGCTCAGTCATGGTTTTTTTTCACACTTGTGTGAATTTTGATGTCTAAGCTGTGAGGTCTCAGGTTACCTCTCACCCTGCAGAAACAAGGCTGGGTGGAGGGGTGAGAAGCTTTCTTTCAGTTTTCCCACTTGTAGTAAAAATTGTTAGTTTTTCAAATGTAATGGGACAGAAGTTATCAAGAAGGGAAGCTGCACACTCTAATATGGAAGAAATATGGGAATGATTGTGCTTTTTATTCATATTTATTATAACTGCTGTGTTCAGTCACAGCAATTAAATGAGAAATGTAATGAAATATTTGGTACTCTTGGAGGGAGGACATGCAGCTTTTCCTCCTTTGTGGCATAGTTCTAAATGTTGAGCTGAACTCAGCTGTTCTCTTAGTCTGTGAAGCAGTATAGAATACTGTATTAATATTCTGGTTTTCATTACCTTCTCCTTTTTCTTCTCCATCATAAAGGACCAGATCAACAGCTTCATGGAGCCCACTGTGGCAGAGGGAGCTCTGCAGTGCTTAGAGCAAAGCATGGCTGGGGCACTGAAAGTAAAGCTTTTTTTTCTGTAGTAGAGGCCTAATTTCTGGCCTTAATCCACTTAATCTGGATTAAGTGCTGAATGGTGTGTTGCCTGTGAGTGTCTAGAATTGGATGACCAGCCTTTCTCTCTCTCTCTCTGATTAGAGTGATTTGTTCATTTATTTTTTCCATCTCCTTCCAATTCACCTTCAGGCATTTGCTGAGTGAAAGGATTTACTAGATCATACGAGGAGCAGTTCTGGATGCAACACAATTATTTACCCTGTACATCTTGCTTCTTTTACAGTTGGTGTTTAATGTTGCATGGATGAGTGCAGACTGGCTGTTAAGATCAAATGAAAACTTATGTACTCTCTTCTATGCTAAAAACATTCACCAGTTTTAATAGAATAAAGCAATTATCATGAAATTAAGAGAAGTAGCAATTGCTTTACACAGCATGGAACTTAATATTCAGGAAACAAAGTGTTTTAAAATCTTTTTTTTTATACCAATGGCAATGAAAATAATGCTTTCAATATGATTGTCGTCAACAGACTTGGCTTTATGTTGCTGGAGTTTCCTACAAGGAATTATAGTTTGAAAGTTTCTGTTGGAATACTGCAGTGCTTGGACTCACTTTTCTTGTCCCACAGTGCCTTGCCATCTCACATGTGCTCAGGTATCTCATAAAGTTAGCAGGAGTGTAATGAAGTGTTCACAGTATTTGGTTTGTGTGTAAAACCAGTAATACTAAACCAGCGAGGATGTCAGAATTCATGGTGTCAGTGTATTAATGCCTTTCACCAACTGTACAGGATTTATACAGCTCAGTTCTCAACAAGATCTCTCTGCCTTATTTTCATGGTTAATGTATATATTTTATATGTGTGCAGCGGATGGGGAAAAGCTTTTGCTGAGCTCCAAAGGAGGCTGTGGGAAAGCTGGTGGAGGTTGCTGAACCCGAGCAGCACTGGAGACCTGGAGCCATAAGCCACAGCCCAGCAGGCACTGAAGTAGTTGTAGCTGAACACTGAAATCTTTATTGCCTAGTAAACTGGCCTTTGCTGCCAAAAATTGATTATGTTCTAGTTTATGTACTAATACAGTGTATCTTGGGGATTAAAAGTGCTTTGGTATGCTTACTTCCAAGGGTTGCAAATGAATTTACTGTCAAGCTCTAGCCAGCATTCCCCTGTCACATAGCCACTACGACTGTCCCCAAATGGCACATGTCAGTGGCTTGTCCCACTGGCCTTTTTCCTGCAGTCAGAATGCCTTTACCTTAGGACCCGCACTCTCTGTTTTGCACTGAGCAATGCTGACATGCAGTCTTGTGTTCAGTAACACCACAGTGTAAGGCAAGGTGATGATTTTGAAACATGAGGAAGCTTTCATGTAAATGATGAACACGTTGAATAATGAAGTGATTGCATAACTGTAAGCCTGAGCAAGTATCTCATGTTAGCACACACTCGAATTTCAAATGAAAGTGCTCATTGTGCTGTCATTAAAAAAGAAAAGGTGAAAACCAAACACTGTGTCAATCAGTCCAAGGGCTAAGGCTCAAATGTAGTTCATACTGAATGCAGAGAGCTCCTTTAGCATTAAGTTTTGGCTATGATGTAGTCCTTATTCCAAAGCCTGAATTTTTGAGCCTTGCTGCATGCAGCTGATGCAATTCATGTATAAGTATTAGATTTGTGAGCAGAAGCCAAAATGCAAATGTCTGAGTCCAATTTTGGGCATGAGGGGAGTTTACTGAATGTTGCACTTGTGTGTGTGTGTGTGAAGGTACTGTTATGCCATTACTTAGAGATCTGAACGAGGCTGGGGTATAGTTCATAGTTTTCATTTAAACTTGTATTGATTGCTGACCCCAAAGAAATTACCAACAAACTGGAGCATGACAGTTTGTGCCATGCAATGGTGTATTTCATTTAATGTGATAGTAAATATAGTTATACAAAAGGGAAAAGAATCTGAGGGAGCCTCGTCTGATGCTGCAGATGGCTTTTTGCAGTACTGCACGGGTGGCTGTTGAAATCTCTGAAGGATAGGAAGGAAAAAAGAAAAAGGAGTCAAGGCCACAACCTCAATTTACAGCATAACAAAATTAGAAATTGAAAGGATTTGGGAAGGAATGCTCCTCTAAGGGGGAAATTATGATTTTATGTCTCTTGATACGCCACTGTATTTCTGCCCTTGTAATTGAGTGCAGTACTGAGGATGTGCAGTGTTTCTCATCTTCCTTTCTACAGTGGGTAGGTTGGGACTGATAACTTCTCTGACTTTGACACTGCAGGATTTGATGTGCACAGCCATGTGCTTACAGGTGAACATGGAGCAATGCTGAATGTGTGCCGAGCGAATTCTTGCTAATACTGTGTGTTCCAAGGGCTCAGGTGTATCCTAGGTATTTGCACTGATAATCAAACGATTACTGTGTTTTCTGGTGAGCTCTAAGGTGAAGATGTGTAAGAGCACACAAATCCACATGATGCTTGCTTGGCTTGTGGGTCATTGTGCAAAGACAATGTTGATAATAGTTTTTTTTTTACCTTTAGAACTTGCTTTGTATATAAGCTTCCTACCCAACCCCACGTTCTATTTGACGTTAATTTATATATACAGACTCCCTCACAACATATATATACACATATATATATATAACTTAAGTGTTTAATTATATATAAATTTAAGATACAGGTTTATATGTGCATTCTAGATCTGCATCATAATAAGATGTGATGGGAGACAAGGGATAGTGAACTGCTAAAGCGTGAAGGCCAGTAAATAAATGGCCTGCTTCAACTTTCTTGTTTTTAATTCATCAAGCAGAGTTCTCCTCCTGTAGCTTTGTCTTTTTTTTTTCCTTCTGAATGAACTTGAATGTTTCTTCTTTGCTTTGTAATTATGCCACGGATTAATATATTGTAAAAGAGCTCATTTTGGAGCCTGAAATTAAGCCAGCTCTTTTTCAGCTTTTTCTTAATTACTCGTGTAAGTAAGAGTCATAAACCCATGGCAGAGAACAAATGAAAAAAAATTAAAAAACTTAAAAGGTGTGGGGAGAAGTGACAGTGGCATCCATTTGGCTGCTTTAATAATAAATGGCTCAAAATGCTCTGTGAAACAGCCATGGCACAGGAAATATTAAAGAACTCAACAGTCTGCATGTAGTTATGGAAAGAACATAAAGTTTTCAGACAACAGTCTCATCAGGGATCCCAGTTGTAAACAGTCTGGAGTGTACCCACTTAATTATATGAAAACCTGGATGATGCTCTGGGGAAGAATTAAAAAATGCAAAACTGCATCCCACGTTAAAGGCGAATATTTAATCAAGTCAAAAGCTTCATTGTGCTCTATAGCAAGCCAAGTTAAATCTAGGCTGCTAAATATTTTATTAGTGTTGATGTTCACTTTAGCCATATATCAGATCATGGTAACAGCAACAGAAGTATTTCTTCCACTTAGGGAGCGTGGGGCTGTGATATGCAACTTTCCTTGGCAATTATGATGCTTAGTGTGGAAAGCTGCCTCAAGGAAAGCGAATCTGGAGCTGGAACCTGGCCAAGCTGAAGTGTGTTAAAATGGTGGCCATGCCATGCAGGAGAGAGCAATTCATGCATGTGTACCGTTCTTTTCACACAGCTATGCCACTTCAAATATATTAATATATATTTTAAAAGGGAGCACAGTAGGAACCTACTGACACAGACTATTTTTACTGAAGCTTGATGCATTGCTAAAGAACAGAGAAACTAAAAAAATTACGGTTTTCCTTTCAAAACAAGCTCAAATAACTGAAAAATATAGGTTTTCTTGTATGGTACTTCTGAAGCCAATCATATTAAAATTAATTATATTTTAACCTTTTTTATCACTCTCAGCACTTTGGCAAGTTAACTTGGAGAAAGGACAGGTTTGTCTTGCAGTTTGGGTCAGCACAAACCTCCATTAGCTATAAATTATTTGTTATGTGCTCAGTGCTTTATGATGCCTGCAGTGAAGGGCCACCATAAAAGCAGTTATACATATAGTATGCAAGAAATATGGTTTTCATGCTTCTGAAATCCAGGATGCTGTTTAGGGATTATTGCATGACTGCCTGCCATAAAGTAAAAATGATAGCTATCTTCTTCCTGAAACGTTAATTTCAAAATTCATGAAGTTCAGGTCTAAATGTTTCTAGAAACTAATGATAATTACAAACCCAATGTTGTTCTTGGCAGTTTAGTGCAGTTAAGCTTAGAGTGGGAAATCAAGAGCTTTTAGTAAAAATATAGCTTAGTAGGAGGCCACATGTTCCAATAGTATAAGTAGATTTCCAGCGATTTGGAGAAATTTTATTTCCTTGACGCCCAGTAAATAGCAGCACTGCAGAAATACATTAATTGAAGGTTTGATGCAGTTAGAAGCAGCTGGCAGCGGGGCAGAGCCGTGCCCCAGCTCAGCATTTTGCTGTTATCTGATCCCTACTCTCATGTGAGCTCAGCGTAGGTTTGGGGCCACGAATCATCGTGGGCACTATTCCTGCATCCACAGTCATTTAATTTATTAGACAGAGTTCAGCTTGCCTTCTGAAGAAGGAAATCAATAACGATTTATTACCATCTTACAGCTTGATGCCTTTTGAAACCACATTCTTGCTCCAATGTCCTGCAGTAATGAAGCCTTCAGTGTTGCTCCTTCACATGTCTGCAACCTTCTTGAACCTCAGATGACCTCTTGTTGTTGTGTTCTACAGAATAAGAGAAAATGCATGAGGAAAGAAAATTCATTACCTTATCCAGATAATTACCAATACCACATTAAATATTCCTCACACTTTTCACCTTTGGGAGGTGAATGGTTTCCTTTCCTGCAGCCCCTGAGGTGCATCCACATAAGTGTCGCTGCTTCCTGGCTTCAGAACTGTTGGGCTTTGCAGTCTGGGGGATATCTAAACATAGAGCTCATCTCCCCACCCTGCAGCTTTGAAGTTTACCTCATTAATTGTGGATCTGTTGGCCTTTCTGTCCTCTTATATTTGTTAATACTGTAATTTTCAAATTGCATTGCACTTCTATTATCTTATTGTCTGTTGGTTTAATTGACTTCTTGTTTGCTTTTTCTCATGTGTCCAGTTTAAATGACTGCATACGACAACTATTGTGGAGGATACATGCAGTGACAGCCCCAGCAGTTCTATTAGTGTAGGCTGACTCTATCAGATATTTCAGAAGTTACCATAATTGTATTTAAATTACATACTTTTCATATTAATTCAATCCTTCATAGTCTGAAGAATTACTTTGTAGACAGGTTATATTGTTGAAAAGGTAAGATGTGTCTAAACCAACTAAATACCTAATTGTGTGTGCTTCTGAATGGTACTGTGTGCTATGTGTTTATAAGTGAAAGTAATGTATTTCTGGAAGCTGTAAGTTAGATAAACAACTTTAAGTTAGAAAAGCAGCTGAAGCCCAAGTCACTCACAAAGTCCTTCATTTAAACGTGTTCTGTGATTTTATTCTGCAGTTTTTTTGCTGTGACCAACTCCCTAAGCCTTTAAGCAGAGCTTTCCTCAAGCCCTATTCTGCACTGACTGCCATGCTTCTGATTTTCTCTTGCTTCCATTCCCACAAGATGCCCATTTGAACAATGACTTTTAAAGAAGACCCAGTGAGCCTTTGAATTGATCCTTGTTGCTGTTTTAGTTCTTTCTTTGTCTTAGGCCTGTGAATGCAGCCGCAGAAATCTTTAGGATTTCACAGTTTTCATAAATTATTTCTAATTATTTAACTAACTCTTAATACTCAACTAGCAATGTCTGCTTTTAATAAGTAAGCAGTTGTTCTGTGGTGTTTCGTTTTTTTTGTATGCTTTTTTTGTGTTGTTTTTTTTGACAGAAATAGGGTAGAAAGCAATTATATGAGCATTGCTACCAGCAGATGTGAAGGGACACTGGCACTTGGCAGGCAGGGAGCAGGCAGTGCTGTGCAGGTCAGCAAACTTGTCACCCAGCTCTGCTGCAGGCAGGAGAGCAATCCTGCTGCTGGCTTCACTCTGTTCCCTTGAGACATGTTGCTTGAGATCATAGACTATTTTCAATAACGATATGAAGCTGCATGAGACTTCAGTGTTTTGTTCAGTTAGTCCCAAGGATTTGTAGAGAGAGACTGCATTGAAGAGCTTTTATTTAAAAGATGGATTATTTTAGGGATTGGAAAGTTATTACTAGCTTATCTGGGAACATCACTGTACTACTCAAGACCTTTTGTTGTAAATGTTATGTTGTCTGGTTACTGAGATTCTGTCTTACAAATGTTTTGTTTCATCTTCAATTAACTATTGTAGGTATACCCCTTGAGCACCTGAAGCATTTCCTGCTCTGGATATACTGTCAGTGTGTTAAGAGAAGAGATACTAAAAGGCAGCCAAAAATGGGAATGAAGCCTTGCTAAGAGAGGAATTTTTAATTAATGACAGGTCATTGATTATTGGAATTGGAATCTCTAGTGCATGAGCAGCTTGCTGCAAGAGGAGGTCTTAGAAGATAAAGGCTTTGTATCAATCTCTGTAAGCCATGCTTGCAGGAGTGAAATTGGATTTCTCGTATGTACTGCAACTTCTTTCTTGCACAGAAACAGCCAGCCAGGCCTGAAGGTGGCTATCTTAGACTTCAAGTAGTTGTAGTACTGCAAATGTCTGTGTGGGCATGGATGGTGTTGCCCTGGATATGTTCTTGAAAGGTAAAGCCCTGTGATGCTTTGGAACAGTTTTTCTCTGCATGTGCAAACAATTCACACTTAATAATTTCACTGCTGTAGATCATTGTAGTTCTTCCACTTATGTGGAGAAAATACGTTCCTGATACACAGCTTTGTAACTTTTATGAGCAATCACAATGTTGGATGAATTGGGGGTTTCCTGTGGAAGTGTCATTTTGATCTATGAATCTTCACTGAAATGAGTACAGAGAATAAAGCCACAGCAATAAAGGAAACTAATGGAAACAAAATCCAGCTGTAATAAGAGACCAGCAAGAAGAGCAGTCTTTAGATACCTCTAGCTTCAAAAAGCTGACAGTTTAATTAAAATCATTATTTGGAACACAAGGTAACATAGCTTTGCCTTTAATAGGAATGCTTTGTGAAATAAGTGTGTGATTGTAATTCAAAATACAAATTAATTGGTTGCTGGCTAGCTAATGACTGATACTGGTAGGCATTTGTGCCATCATCTCGCACTGTTTGGTGTCCAGCTGTGTTACAGGTACCGTAAGATGGACTGAGTTCTCAAGTCCTGCCAAATGGAGCTGTTTCAATGTTTTCTCCAGACTTCAGATATTACTGAAACAAGGCTGTTGAAGTAAAGCATATATATAGTTAAGTGCAGAGCCTGATGTCTTGAGAAGAAAAAATATTAAGAAATACAAAGTAACGAGTGATGTTTTTTTCCCTCATGTTAGCACTAATCAAAAATGTGCACACCATCTTGAATGCTTTTAATAAAACCCGAGTTACAGGTGGGATTCATTTGGGATGTAAGATGAAAGCCTTTTTGAATAAGAATATTGAGAGGTTCCCATCAAACCTCATAGACAGTTGTTTCTAAGCTTATCTTTTCAAAGTTCATGCAAAGCTTAGTGTATGTCTTGCTTATCTCTGGCATGTTGTAGTGCTTCAGAATACTGTATGACAATCATTTACTTTACACCACTGTGAGCAAGTAAGAATTAATCCAGCTTTACAGCTGGGCTGAAAGAACAGGGGCTAAGCGATTTCCTCAAGGTCATCCAGAAGATTATTGGCAGAGCCAGGATTAAAACTTACTTCTAAAATCCTAAAAGATGAGAATTTGTAACAGGCCTGAAATGGGGGGGAGAGGGGGGCTGAGGGGTGGGATAAGAGTCTCTTATGAATTTATTAAGCAAATTGAAACACTTTCTTGCAAGCTTGCTTCTGTCCACTGCAAACCAAATAGGCATACAAGAAAAGTATTGTAATTTTTCTTCCTTTCTGGCTTTCCTCTTTAATTTGGTGCTTAAGATTAACTGCTGGGGTCTTCAAAGCTTCCTTTCTTATACCCTTGGTAGGTAGGTCCCTTTGGAATTTATGTTCACACAAATAGGAGTGAGGAGACTTGAGTCTGACTGAGAAGGGATATTTGCATGTACTTTATCTTTAACCTTTGTATATACTGGGACTGAAAGAAGATTAGAGTCAATCTGGGAATTTGATTTTTTTGTCGTATTTAGGGTTGGTTTTTGTTGTGTTTGTTTTTGTTTTTGTTTTTTTAAATCTGTATATACCTCTGATTTGATCCTTTTAGTAGGCTCTCTGTCAAAAATAATTTAATTCTGCTACTGAGCTGGCTTCTAAACAACATATGACTAGCCTTAAAAAGCCCAAAGCCTTGAGGTAAATACGTGTTATCGCTAAGAGATGTTTGTGGGGATGCGTGCTGCAGGATGTAAATGTCAATGATTGTGATGTTACTACACTGTGTAGTATCTATGCTGAGAAGCATATTCAAAGATCAGGAAGCTACATGAGGGGAAAGCCTTCATTAGTGCTCGTTACCCCATTATATACCCTGGTTTTCTGTGCAGGCAGCACAAATAGCTCTCAAACTCATCCAGAAATTGAGTCACCAGTTGACAACCCTCATTGTTTAGCAACATCAGCAAGCGAACTTTTCAACAATATGAAGCTACTTCTTGCAATATTGTTTTTATGAAATATCTTGATACTATTGCTGCTTGTTGGAGCCAGAGTTTAACCCAGACATCAAAACATCTGTTTGTTTACAAAACTGGTAGATCACAGTTTCCTTAAGGTAATGCAATAATTCAGAAACCAGTCCTGAAAGAATAATATTCCTGTGCATGTAAAGAAAGCTGCATGAAACATCTGCTTGCCAATTGCTTGAATTTACTCTGATCAAATACTTAAGAATTTTGATGAAATGACCACCTAGGAGAAACTATTCATCTTCAGAGTGGTCTTCTTATTGTAATTTAGTGTGTATAGAAACTCTGTAGGTTCAAAAATGCAATAGAATCTGCAAAGCATGATTATGCCAATAACTTCCTGGGGATTCCACTGCAATGATCTGATTTATTCGGAGGGGGGAGGGTTTGACTCATGAAAATGCTGTGGTGCACAATAAGCAGAATCTGTAAGTTTTTGAACAATGTGTTACTGCAGATTGCTGGACTTGGGCACTCTGCTTCTTGCTGCACATCACCTGATTGTTCAGCTTGTGAGAGGTTGTGCTCTTCCTGATGACTTAACACAGTTTGAGGCCTTGCTACATCCCCTCATTGGGCAGAGACAATGACAATGGCTTTTCTGACATTTTGGGTAGGGCTTTTCTTTCTTCTTCTAGAACTTCATGAGCTATAACCAATTGGAAAGAGTTATACAAAACACCAAGTCATTCCAAAAAACATTTAGTGTATCTCTGGCATTTAATTGTGAGTGACAATGAATGTGTTGAACTTTCAGTCTGGATCACCACTCTCTATGCTGAAGCCAGTGCATCCTGCTGAGATTTGCATGTGCTTAACATGGCAGAACTTTGCAGCTATAGAGCATGATTGATTCCTGCTGTATGTTTTCAGCTGGCACGATCTATAGAAAAGGTTTCATGGTAAGGAATTGTTTCCTGAGATCTGGGAATGAAGATCTGGAGGAGCCAGCCATAAAGCTTACATCTCAACAATTCTTTAATTTGTAATTTGTTTGAGTTCTA